TTCTTTAAATTCCAAATATCAAACTGACTAAATAATACCGCAAAGATAGATAAATATGGTGTGTTTTCAACCAAACAGTTGAGTTAGATATGACAAAGTTTTTGTTAAAATAAACAGCAGAGTTCATCAATTTCGATTTTTGAAAGTAACCAAATGTTAGACGCAATTTCAAAAACTTTTTGATGGATGAACCAAGCGCGAACGAAATTCAAATAAATTAATTGTTTGTTAAAACTTCTAGGCTAAATAAAAATTTAAGTTAATTGATACATGATTTAGTTGAAATCGTGTACTATTTTTTAAATAACTGACTAAAGAGTGTGATCAAATGTCACATCATTGTCATGTAACATCAACTATTTCATGTGCTTCTTTTGACTAAACAAAGCTGCAATTCAGTTGTTTAAATTTTGTTCAATTATGTCATATATAATTTAGTTAAATATACATGTTATTTTGCTGAATAGGCAACAAAAGTATGTTATTGAAAATCACTTTATCATTGTTGAATCAACTATTTTGCATGTATACCAGTGCACCAGCTTCTGAGTAGTTCACCGACCGCCGCTAGGCCGCGCATGGTGGCGGCCAAAAACTCGGATGCAAAATTCAGTCTCGTAGGGTATAAAAGGAGGCCCGCGTAGTGCCGGATCGCGCGCTTCGACCGCCACATAATGTTTTGTAAGATTAAGGCTGCGCCGCTGCGGTCAAGCTGCCGCTGCAAACGCTTCGAAGCGTTTCTCCTCTCTTTCTGTTTTTACTGAAAGAAAAGAGAAGACGAATGCTTCGTAACATTCGAAGCGACAGCTTGACCGCAGCCTAAATCAATCCAGAATTTTGTTTGTTAATCTCAATTAATAAGCGTGTGTGTGTGTGATAACCGTATATTTCATTCCTGTAATAAAAATTTAATTGCTTCAACCGAGTGTAAAGTTTTTCAAACAAACTATTTTTATCAACAAAATAAATTTCGGTTTGCTCTATAAAAGTTTTCTATAAAAACGACAAAATATATGAATGCACCAATTATCTAAATTGTTGGTTAAACTATATCAGTAAATTTACGGACTATGTATCGAGGTCATTAAACAAAGCTTTCATTTATATCAAATATATATTTCATTATCTCCACTTAATCTTTCGATGCAAACTTTATATACATATTTAGTTCTAGAAACAAAATTTTAGTTGCCACATATTTTCGTGAATATAAATGTTAATTGCATTTTAATAAATGGAACTAAATTTGTCTTCATCAAATTGTATATACTGCTGTTTTAACTAATTTTTCATTTAAACAAAAAGTGGTTTTGTTGATTGGACTCGAGATTTATCTAGGACAACAAAATTTTTCTGCATTCAACACGAACAAGTTCTATAAAAGTTCTATAAAAATCGCATACTAAAAAAATATTGTATTACAGTATCTATGTATGTTTTAACTAAACTCTCAACTTTGTTGATTTAAATAGTGCTTTGTTTACAACAGTAACAAATTATTATGTGATATCGTTGTAATATTTAGTCGTGCGTATCGGACTAAATATTTTAGTTGGATAAAACATAATTCGCATTTTTCAACAAATTTTTTTTCTCAGTGTAGTATTGCTTTTTATGTATAATAGCACGTCAAGAGAATAATTTGTAACTTAAATGACTTAAAATAATATTAAAAATAAATGTGTATTTTTCAATTTTTACGATAACAGTAGTATACAATGTGACAAATATACTCAGAATATTTTAAATTTAATACTTACGTTATTATAAAACATTTCTAATTTCTTAAATATGTATTTTCTCTTATGTTTATAGCACCTAATTAGTTGCAATGGATTCAAACCCTGCAGCAGATTTAAATCTGTTAAACAAAAGTACTTCAAACGTAGATGTTTGTAGTAAAAAATCAGTATCTGCTGAAAGAACGTGTGCCGAAAATAATACGGCAGAGTGGTCTATTGTTTATTTTGAAAGTGACAAAGAAGAAAATATTGAAGGTTTTAATGATCTCATTCCATCTTCATGGATTACAGCAAAGGGGGCATTAAGTTGGTACCCAATGAATGAACACCGAGGAACAATTAAAAAATTGGTGAAACAGTGTGGAAAACCAAATTTAGAGTGGAATTGTTATTCTATCAAGAAAATAGAAGAAAGCATTGGTCAGTTTATGACAAAATAATTTTTTTATATAATTTTTCTCGTAATGTTTTATATTTTTCTTGTTTTTTATAATTAAAATTATTTTTTGTAGAAAATTTTGATCGGGGAATGAAAGTGCTGGTCAAAATTGCAAAAAATCCCAATGCCACACTATATTCAGATCTTGAAGAAAAAGGGAAAGGGAAACGGAAAAAAAGACCAACAAAATATTTCGACAAAGATGATTCCGACAAAGACCATTTTGACAAAGAAAATAATCATGAAAAAAGACAAAAGAAACAGTCAACGGTGCCACCATTTCCAAAATTGAATATCACCAAATCGGTGCCGGTTAATCAGTCATTGTATGATAAAGGAACAAAACGCTTCAACATGGACAAAGTTCCATCGTCTCTGGATAATAATGAACAGCAGTCAAGTATTATTTCACACCATAACATTTCTTTTCGTGAAATATCAAGGGGCCAACATGATATGAAATATAAGGAAATAAAATCCCTACAAGAGAGTTCTGTTTCCACAGACACACGCAAATTAAAGCCTACAATTTTACTTGAAAACGGATTAAAATCGTTAACTGTAGAATGATAAAAGAAACTATTAATTTACTTTAAGTTTGTTTATAACTTCTTAATAATTCTGAAATTATAATAGAGTAATTAATACATTATTTAAAATAGTATTTAAATACCTACTAATATTAATTTTTGAGGTAATATAAAAATAAAGTTTAAAATAATTGTTTTAATGAACTATTATTACATGACATTTAATTCACATTTCAATGTACTTATAGTGTTAATTACTGTAGATGTTATAAAATGGAATTTATATATTTAATTTATATTTAATTTTTTATTTAAAAATATAATAAATTAAAAAGGTTACATTAATTTCAAAATTAATAACATAATTCTTTTTTTAGCTGAAATGTCAACATCAAAATTGACTTTGCGCAAAATAGATAAAAACATAGAAAGCTTTTTAGAAACGCAGATAACGTCAAAAGATTGTAAAATGGAAAATCCTACGACTACAAAAGTTTTAGATGAATTTCCATTAAAAAATCTTGATGATCTAATGGTTGTGGAACATAGATTAAAGAAAGACAAAATTTTTCATTCTAATTTGGTATGTATATATGTATAAATTAGTGTGTATGTGGTTATTTTTTCTTTTAAGTATACATCAACTATTTATAATTTTACAGGTCAATGCTTTACATTTGGCAGTCGTAGGTGAATCACTTAAAAAAAAAGTTAATGCTGTGCTTCGAATGGTTATGAATGATAAGCTGGCAAGTTTTTTTAATTGGAAGGGTCAACGTGGAACTAAACTAAAGTTATCGAAACGCAGAATATCGAAAATAATGATTGGTAAGGTTTTAATTAAGTTTCAATTTAATTTTTGCCAATTAATAAAACAATTGTATAGAGATGCAAAATCAAGTACATAAAATTAATTTTTAAGGAAGTAAACTAAAACGTCGATCTTAATAGAGCATAATATATTTTTTTCTTAAAATATGAATAGGAAATGACAATTTAAATGTAATCAATTAATGCACGGTAGTGCATTCAAATAGTTAAAAAAATTACTGTTTAAAAATTATGTTCAATTTTTTAATTTTAAATGTGAATTTCTTGCCACGGCCGATTCGAGGTTTTTAGATTTAATCCTTAAAGCAAAATAGGGTCTTCTGGTACCCCAGCCAATTTTCGCGTAAATACACCGCAGTCATCTATACAAAATTTAAAATAAATACTTTTTTGAAACTTGCACTTGCACTATCACGCTATTTTTTCTCTTAAACTATGGCATTTTGAGAGTATCAGACTAAATTTTTAGCTAAAAATTAAAAATTATGATTTTTTAAAATAAAAATAGAGGTTTTCCACGTTTTTTCAACTTTGTGATTTTTTTAACGTTTACAATTTTATTTTTAATTAAACTTACAATTCTCTATAAAATAATACTTGAAGAGTGTTTAGTAATTTTTATAACTCAAAATTACAAATCCTCTTATTGCTGGAAGCTTTTTTTTAGCAGGCGTCTGCTAAGACCCCACAATGCACTTCATGATATTCTGAGGTATGAGTGCGCTTTAAGGGTTAAACTTGATATCTTTATCAAGTTTGATCTTGAAAATTCGTGATTTTCTATTAGCTATATTAATTGGAGGTTTTGACATTAAAAGCGACAAAATATACAGGGTGTCTGATGCAAAAGTAGCCACTTTAAAAATAGTGGTAGATTGGGTTAAACTAAGGAGAAATATCATGTACCGCGGTACAAAGTAACAATAGTTATCGAGTAGTAAATTTACACATTTGAGCGAATGAGGATGCAGGAGACGGTAGGCCGGACTCGGAAGGCATTTAAAAAAATCGATCGATGAGCGGGAGGTGGAGCGACGCGCGAGATACTATGT